GTACATTAATAATGATACTTGGCACGAAGATCCGCTGTTCTGTGAGCGTCATTCCAAGAATTGCCCTTTGGAATTAATCGGGTTTAATAGTTTTACGGAGAGCTAGTATTTTTCGGAGTATCAAAGAGTGCAAGTTAGCGAGTGATTATCTGTTTATCGCAAACAAAATAAATATACAATAATATATTGTGATGTAATTATTTCTACAAAATTAATATTCTATATAATATTAATATTCACAAGTCACACACACATTTTTTTATACTACAATGTATTGTTAATCGATGAAAAAAAGTCGAGTTGTTATTTTCTTGGCAATGTTCGAATATTATTACGATAAATAATGACATTGTAAATAATGTATGTTAAAAATGAAGCAACATTATTCAAGAAAATGAATAAAGTGAATACAGTTATGTATTCAGCGCAATATAAAATTGTCGTGTCTGGCTGGAGTTGCTAGTCGTTTTTGTAGGAGATTTCATTTTTCACATTGAAATAAGCACGGACGTTACAAAAACGCTTGAAGACCTGCCTCATTCCTACGCGATTGTCCCTACAGTTATCACTAGATGACACTGTGAGAAATGACAGCGGTTAATGAAACATTTGTCACGCTGCAAAACCGCACTCGAATTATTCCGGGGCACCGGACACGGCAAGCGATAAAATATGGTGGTACGTCAGCCGACTAAATGTAGTAAAAATATACGTTTAGCTCTAAAGACCGGGAAAGAGAGAGAGTGTGGAGCACGTATTACAAAAAATGAGCGAAAGGATATTTCTACCGGGCGTTATATACGGCCCTCAGCGCCATTAATTTGTCTTCGTATAATGGCTACCGTGAAAAAAAAATATTTCTCGTTTTCGTGCATTATTCTTTCTCTCTTCTCCCTCTCTCTCTTCTGTCTCTCTTTCTCGTATCCTTTGCCTGTCACGTTCCCGCGACAGGACGATTATAATTGCTACTCACGAGCAGCGCTGGTCCAGTTCCAACGAAAAGCATTAATTTGGACTATCGCGCGACTATCTGGCAATTAAAAAGTGCCCCACTTTACGTTCACCATTTGCCAACGCAAACACATATTATTCAGAAGTCAGGCTACAATTGCTGGCTTACAATTACGCTAATGAGCTAAAGTCGCAGTATTTAAATATTATGATAAAAGGTTTACATTTATGCGTATAATAATGTAAAATTACCTAAAAAAAGAATTTTTTTGCTAGGAAAATATCTTCGATTTTTATTTCGATTACTTTTTAAGTTTCCTGTCTTGAGTATCCATTGTTCGATCATCTATCGAATGTAAAAATTTATTATATAACTATTATAATTAATTAATCTTGATTATAATATACATATATCCAATACGTTGGAATGCTGTCATTTTTATATTTTATACAATTATGTCAAAAAGTATTTCGTTTGAAATACGTTTCTTGTTAACAAAGAAACCATTTTTCCATAAATACGTACTCTTAATTGCTGTGCATTGTTGCCCGACGATGAATCCCATGACACAGATTATTTTATTATAAATGTACACGGCGTTGTAAGATTGCTTTATTAGCATGTAAATAAATTTGCGATGTAATTATTTCGAGTTTTGTCCATGATAGAGGACTGCATTCAAATAAGGACGTCAAAGGTCGGTATCCGGCGAAAGTTTTAATGATTAAAAATATAAATTGTTAATTACGGACTATCGGTAATTTATACATTGCAAGGCATTTTTTTTCTAATAATTATCTCCGAGCAAACATGTTAACGGCGATAAATAACTGAGACTTCGAAGTAGCGCGCTGAAACTATCATTATAAATCAATGACTCAATATAAATCATATGTTTTTCCTAGGTGCCATATTTCTAATGATTTATATATATAAGACAAAGTGTTAGGAGAATCACGATGTTTCTGAACGAGAGCTAAGTTTCAAATTCTTTTTTTTCCAAAATTGATCATCGAAAAACCTGCAAAAGCCATAGATGTAGATACGATTTAGAACAGATTCGATTTTTTCAAAAAGAAAAAGAAAAAAGATCTCTATAATAGTGTCGATGTTATAGAATTAAATTTTGTCAAATGTTGGAAATAAAGTATCAGTTATATACTCCATCGAGAGAACATCATTGCTAACGTATCAAAGATCAGTGAGAGAAACGCAACAAAGAAAATTCTCGCCTATATACGCGCCTCCTCGACGGTTCGCGTGTCGCAATTGCGGTAACTTCCATTATGTACATTGTGAGTATACGTTTCTATTCCCCATGGGAGCTTCACCGACGAGATGCTCCGACGATCAACGATCCACGTTCAATAAAATCAATCTGTAATCGTTCCGATGAACCGGCGGGATAAAATTCGAATACCACCCTTTCAGAACGCTCGTCCCCGTTTCTATCTGCGTTATTATCCCAGCGGAGAATGTCGTGTCAGGACTGTCGCATTCCAGGAGAGAACGGGTTATAATTGCATACGGCCGCAGTCCCGGTGGACCGCGCGTTAACGAAAAGCATTAATTTAGAATGCTCTGTGGTTTTCTTGTCAGAAAACCGGCCGCGCGCGCAACTCCCGTATGCAATTAACGGAAAGCGCTATGCGACTCCGTTGCAATGACGACACAGGAGTCGCTCCGAGGGAGGAGAGAGAGAAAAAAAAAAAGAAGAAAAGGTACGTTAAAGAGCCTGGCTTTGTCAGGCTTGATCCACGCGAGCGGGTAATATTACGTGCTTGGCGATGCCGAGTTGACGCGGTACACAAAAAGATTCGGCCGCGGTGGAGATGTGTGCGAGAGGGATTCGCTGATAGCAGCGGTTCGCCGGAGATAATAAAGGGTTGAAAGAGCGCGACGGTGAAATGGACTGAAAAATCCCAAGTAAAATTAAATGACGATCTCCTCTGCTGCTCATCCCGTTTATTTATTCTGATATCACGCATCTTTATCGCAGGTTTCAAACTCATACACCCCGTAATTATGCACAGATATTTAATACGCGATATACAGAACCAATTATATAATTTTTGTTGAGAATAAACTAATTACGCAAATAATTTTCTAACATCGAAATAAAGAATGCATTATTTCTGATTTATCTTGTACATATATACAATGATGTACATTTCGTATATAAAATAAATCATTACTAAGGATAAGCATAAATCATGTGTAATAACGAAGAATATTAAAGACTACAAACACACAAAACTTAAAATAAAGATAAAAGAATTTAAACATTGTTGATTTTTAAAAAAATATCTTTTAATAAACGTAAATATGTAAGCTTTTAATGCTTTTTTTTTTTTTTTAATGAGAGAGAGATCAATTAAATTTGTATTCCGATGGGATAACTCACCCGATTGCTGCAAAGCTTTTTATTGTGTAGAGCGCAACATATGTATCAGTCTTCTATCAGCAAATTAAATATTCTAGCCTTTAATTAACAGAGTATTCGAGGAATCTTCGAGAACTTTAGAAGATCGTAGAATGTAATTATCGACTTTCCGTCCACTTTCTTAATTGCGGATACAATTTGTGGACTTGTATCCACGCGGGGATTTACGCGGTGGCTCCGCATTTTACTTCAGGGCAAAAGTTCTCAACGATGTATGCGAAACACTCGACCAACTATCAACTACAGTAAACATACCATGAATCGAGATCCAACTTTGCAATTTTCGCTAAATTATTAATTATACAAAATGTGTATGTGTATATAATGCATTCATTAATTGTTGCAATTTTCGTTTAATAGTTGCTTTTGCATGAAAGACTAAATACTTTTTTTTTTATTTACAATTCCACAAATTTTTTTAGTTATAATGTAGTATAATTTACAGCCTCACATTATGAAGTAATTTATTTGCAATTAATATTTTTAAATTTATTATTATAAACTATTATATTATTAGAGAAAAAAAATAAAGAGAGAAAGAAAAGAAAAGAGTGAAGTTAAAAGAGATAAGTTTATTCTACAATATTTTTCTGATTTTTTTTCATTAAACGATAATTTAATAATTATTAGAGTAATTGTGTCCTATTCAAAGAAATCTCGTATTTATAAATAAATTATTAATCGATAAGGTAATCGATATCAAGAAATTATTATTTTCAAGAATAAATTAAAAATATAAATTTATCGAGTACTTGCTGATGCATAATGATTAAAAATGTGATCATTTTAAAACTTTATATATTATAGTTCGCGCGCATGTCGATTATTTATATTTATTGTTGCTTTCATTCCGGAGTATGTATTTGATAAAAGCTCTTTTTTTCCCATCCACATCTCTTTCAGCGCTGATGTATATTTTATGCTCATTATAATTTTTCCCTCTCTCATTAAAGAGCAGACTGTAAACAGAAAAATGTGTTGTGCAAACGCACAATCATAACCGGTAATAACGAGAACGATAACGTCTTAGTTCCGTATCTTATGCAATGTTTAAACGACGTAAGAATAAATAAAACGCTCGTGCACAAACAGACTTTCGTTTTGTTTGACTAAGTAATCATCGCTGCAAACGCGAGCTGTTAAAAAGCAAAGAAACTCCCAATAATCGGCATTACCGTTAGCGAAAATTACTTTGTCAAATCTTTGCACTCATCGTCCACTGCCGGTCATGGCCGGTTAGTGTAACGATGACTATCTCGTGACAAACCGCTGATCGATGACGAAACGAATTTATCGGATCTCGCTTACTTATGTCACGTGATTTTGTTCTGTGTCGCTCTGTGAGTTTAGTTATTAATTAACGTATATTAAAAGAGCTCGATCTATCTACTCGAGAACTTGTTTCCTTTTTTCCAAGATATTGTGTATAAATTTATAATAAAAATTATATATATAAAATTAACATTTTATTAATCAACTCCTGGAGCTCCTGGAGCTTTTTCTTACGAGACCTCCTTTTGTAATTTTAAGTATAAATTATTCTGTTTCTTACAGACGGGGTACATATAATACGAAAAGACATTAACGTTCTGACGTACGATGGATATGTCAGACTACCGGCTTTCTTTTTTCGTCGGATGCTTGAATTGTTTGATTCTCTGCACCGTTTCGACGATCATCGATGAGAACACAACAGAGATCGATATCGTGCCCAGAATCTTATCGCGGCCTAAGAGGTACTTGATTTTTCCGCAGGGTAGTAACTTTCAGGTAAATTTATTTAAATAATGCTTTAAAAAGAACATCCTTAAAATTTGTGTTTCTTTTTTAATTAAAAAATTTTCTTTCTCTCTTTGTAATTATAAATAAAACTTTTATATAAAAATATTATAAAACTTTTGCGAGATAATATAACCAACACGCTACGTGTTGTTAAAACACGCACGCACAGTTTCTAAAAATCAGATTTGATATCCGAGATAGGATCTTTCTACCTACAGTTTAATAAAATTGTTAGAAAGAATGAGCGATATTATTTTAAACCAAATTATATTACACGCATAGAATTGTAGAAAATCAAGCTACCGTATAAATTTTGCCAAGTACTTCGCAAACGTTTTGTATACTTTCCATAGCGTGATTTTATTGCCTCTTTCC